CACAACCCCACACACTCCCCACACACACACACAGAACCCCACAGATCACACACACTCCCCATACACACCCCATACGTCATACAGAACCACACACACACCCCCACACACACAGAACCCCACACACCCCATACATCACACAGAACCCCACACACTCCCCACACACACACAGAACCCCACACATCACACACACACCCCACACACATCCTACCTGACCCCAGATGGAGCAGACAAGCTCCTGTGGAGAAGGCCCTCTTTCCCGTGCCCCTCCGTGTGTGCCCTACCCCCACCACCCCAGGGGTTGTGCAATTCTGAGCTTTTCATTCCTTTTAAAACAAAACACGCCCCACAAAGGTGTCAGTGCCCGTGCCCTGTGGCCCAGCTCGCTCACTGGGTGTCCAGTCACAGCTCACTCACCCACAGCCGCCCTGATCTTTCTCCCCAGCTTCATTCATGGAGGGGATAGAGGGTGGTGTGGAGGAATGAAGCATTTGTATATACTTAGACACATTAATTCAGTGCATACACAACATCTAACCCCAAGAAGCACATACCCCACTCTGCCACAGTCCCCCCCTGCCATGTACCCCACACCTCCATCTCACACCTCAGCACCGCAGCTCGGCCAGGCCTGGCTCTGCCTCTGGCAGCTGCACCTTTAAATCCAGCTGGAAAACACAAGAGATGCTCCCCACGCTCTCAGAGGGGCTAAATAAGCCTCCCTCACCCCCCAGGAGCTGCCCTCAGTCCAACGCCCACCCTGTGGCTCATTGAAAAGAGCTGTGAGATTTAACACATCACACAGAGCTGTGAGATTTAACTGAGGCATTCCCTGCCAGTGGCACAGGTTGATCCCCATGGAGCCTGGCACACACCCTAACTCAAACTGCTCCCACTCTGTCTCACTGGCTGATGGGGCTGGCAATGGCCCCACAATTGGTCAGCGTTTCCCTGCACTGCCAGGCCTCTGGAAAGCATTTTAAATTTAGCTAGGAACCTGTAAAGGTCACTTGGCTCTTTGAGGCGCATTTTAAACCGCTCCAGTCTCCCCGGATTGCGACTCTTTGTTTCACGAATGGCCTCAGCACGTTATCCCCAGCAGCCTGAAAAGGTCATTGCAGGCACACACAGCTCCCAGGGCTGGAATCCTGGAATGCTAGAACATTCCCTGCTGCCTTCAGGGAGCAGGAGCTGCGTGGAACACCACCTCTTGCTCCCAGTGGGTGAGGGTGACATAATTAAGCATTCACCCCTCAGAGCTGTCAGGAATATGAAGTCTGTTTTCCACAGGAGGGGAAGGGGAAGAGCCCTGCTGCAAGCCCACTCTTCCTTGTCCAGCCAGGCAGCACAAAATCCCTTCCAAGGCTGGAGGAAACCACCCAGGGACACACACAGGCTGCAAGGCTGAGCCCCACTCATTGGAAACAGTGCCTGGTGCAGGGATTCGGCATCATTGCGATCCTCACAATGAAACAGGTCAAAGCAGGACTTCAGCAACACTGAAAAAATGAGCAGTATGAGTTTTAAGACTTGTGCATACACACACACCCCTCTTCCCCAAGTGTGTTTTACTTAACTGGCCAAAATACAAAGGAAAGAATAAATCAATCACCTGTTTTCTAGTGAAATATATTAATTTAAAGCTCTCTGCTACTCATTCAGAGTACTTTGGCAAAGGCTATAGGCTTCAGGTGTTTAAAGTGGCACTGGAAAGCAGAGTTTAGCTTTTGCAAGCAGTTTCCTGCCGTGGTTCTGGTGATGAAGTTCTTTCCTTGCATCCTCACACTTCAGTCTGGCCCATGACTGCCCAGTGCTCAGCTTACTGAGGTTTGCAGAGGCAATACTGGCCAGCTGGCACATTTTGTCCCACTCCAACAAGCCTGTGCCCTGAGCTCTGGGGAAATTGGTTTTGCTCCCTCCAAATGCAAAATAAGCAGCCATTGTAACACCTCTGTTAAGGCCTGGGGCCTTCCCAGCAGGAGTGGCTGCTTAACCAATTTCAGAAACAGCCCCAGAATTCAGATAAATCTCTTTAAAGCTTGGGCTCAGTTTGCAAAGCACACAAGGACTGTAAAGCTGCTGAAGAGGCCAAATGAGCATCTCATTTCAAACAAGCTCTCCAGTGCACTGACGTTAACAGCAAAGTAAAAACCATCATTTTATCAGCAGATAAAAATCAGCTCAGCTCCACTGATGAGGCTATTGCTGAGGTGCAGGAGCGTTTCCTGTATCACCTCTCAAAAACTGGGCCAGCAAACCTTTCGGAAGCTGCTGCCAAAAGCTGGGAAAAGTCAGGATTGAGAAAACCAAGCTTCCCTTTGAATTCTCTAACCTGCCTGTGGCACACTGGTCATCCTAATTCCTCTGCCAGGCTTACAGGGATCCCACCACTGTGGTGGGACAGGATGTACCAGGCATTCCCTGGGGCTGAGCAGGAACACGGGGCTCTGAGAGAGAGCCAAGGACGGTGCTGCGAGGGCAGTGAGTGGGGAGCTTACCTGAAAAGCTGGATTTCCTCCCTGATCCCTTTGTTTTGGCAAAGCCTCTCCTGGCACAGCAGGGCTGAGCCTGAAATGGGTCCTCCTGAGGCATTTTAAGACCACAGCACTAAATGTCTGCCAGCTGAACAACGGGGAGCATTCTGGCTTCAGTCAACTAAAACATTTACTTGGTCCTTTTGAAAATTTAGTGGAGGGAGGTGTAGAGGCAGTGGTGCTTCTTTTTGTTTTTGTTATTGGGGGAGCTTTTGTTTGTTTTTTTTCTTTAGCTCTCTACACAGATCCCCCCCAGGCAGGTTCCCAGGGATATTTTGGAGTGTTGGTATAGCACCAGTACATTCCCTGCTCCCTCCAGCCTGTCCCAAGTAGATAATCTGCTCTTCTGCAGTCAAAGCTTGCTCCCTCCCGGGGCGAAAATGATTTTAAAAGTTGGCCAGAAAGGAGACAAAGCCATCAAACATCAGCTCAGACCTTTGTTCCTCACTCACCTGGGGTTTTGCTGTTTGAGTCTGAGCCCTCTCCAGCCTCCAGTGTAGCCACCAAGGAGATGTCCCAGCCCATGGCCACCACATAACACCCAGACACAACGAAAATGGACACGGGACATGGGGTTATGACACAGGTAAAGGCAAACTGGGTGGGCAGTCATGGATACCTGTGACAATAATTTGCCCCTAAAAGAGGCCCTGAGACCACAGGAGCCTCCACATCCTCCAAGAGATGATACTGCTGGGCACAGCTGGGTGCAGCCCCCCAGCATGCCCAGAGCCCAGCTCAGGGAGCTGCCATGAGTCTTTGCAGGTGGCTATTTAGAAAAAAAAAATTAAAAAAATTATACTTTTTTTCCCCATGCTGTCTGCAACCCTCCATTCCAGCCCATCTTCCCCATCAGAACAAGGCACTGCTGGGTTTTTAACCCTGACCACACCAGTTTATCCAAAGCCTTTGCTCAAGGGGACAGCCAGCAATTCCAAACTCCAATTCCATAGCCCCAACCTGTCATGCCTGCTCACTGCTCCAGAAGGAACAGCTGACAAACATCCAGCACAACCACAAAATTCTTCTCCCTATGATGAACAACCACTCCCTCTCCCCCTTATCCTCTGCTTTTTTCACACCAAGAAAAGCCTTTACTATTATGCAAAGGAAATCTGTATGAGCTTCTTCGTGCAACGTGCTGGCAAGTCAACAAGACTGAGGCAACAAGGGAAGAAATCGTATTTTCCTTTCAGCCATGACCACAGAAATCTGCTTTGTCCCTGTCACACAGGGCACTTGTTGCTGTGCCCCCTGCACAGAGCTGCACAAAGGAGTAACAGCAAAGGAAATATTTCGCCCCCACAGAATAGAAATCACCATGAGTTCTCAGACCTCTTGGCAAAGCAAGGAGCAAATTAGGGAGGGCATGGGCCCAGGGGAGGGGAGAAGGGGTGAATAAATAAGTGCACTCTGTGAGAAGCGTCTGAACTTTTCCATGCCCTGCTGCTTTGGCACCCGTGTCTCCGTGTGTCTGCCTCTGACCCTGCTGCTCCAGCTGGGGCTGGGGACTGCAGGACTCCCCCTGCCTTCCTCAGCAGCTGAACCACGAGGCCATCCCACGCTGCAGCACAGGGAAGCCAGCCTGGAAAGCCAGCAGGGAAATCCAGCTTGCCAGCAGCAGAATGCAGCACACAGGTCAGTCAGCAGTGAGTGGTCCTGCACACCATTGCCTCTGAGAGACACAAAGCAGCACCTGGGGATGGAAACCACCCATCCTTTGCTCCTCCTTTGCCATGGATGGGAGTCATTTTCCACAGAGGAGTTGTTTCCTTACTCTGTTACCTTCTTAACATGGCAAATGGCACATTTGGGCTCCCCAGTTGTGCTGAATGCCACCTCATTTCTTTATGTTTCAAAGGAGCTGTGACACCCCCAAATTCTGCCAAAGCAAGGGAAGCAGACCTTAGCCAGGGATACACACCTAAAATGACTGAGCACTGAGGCCACCCTGCCTGCACTGCTGGCTGTAAATGTGATTTACAGGCAAGGATCAGGAGCCTGTCCCTGTCAGGTGCTGCCTGTCTGTCCTGGGCACACTGCAGCCCCCAGCAGGGTGATTCCCTCAGCTGAACCCAGCGTTTCCCTGGCTCAATGGACAGAAAAACAGAGTCAGGGACACCAGCCCACCAACAAAGCCATTTACCCACCTTGTTCTGAGTGACCTCAGCAGAGAGCAGGGAAGCAGAAAAGAGGAATTGTTTGAGAAATATTTTGTTGACTGAATTTGCTTAAAACCAGTTCTTGGTGGGGTGGTGGTGGCTTCCAACCAGGAGCTAGGAGTCGTGGAAGGAAGTGGGGAGCACAAAGCCTTCAAGGACCTCAGCAAATATGATATCAGCCAGACTTAGACAGGAGCTGTGTATCTGGGGCAGACAGATTGTGTGTCCTGCCACTAGATGTACTGTCTTGGCCAGAGGAGAGAAATGAGGCAAGAACTTTCCTTCTCTTCTGCTTTATTTGATCTACACAGAGCTGTCAGATTACACAGAAATACCAAGCATTGGAGAGTGAAATGTTTGCAGTGCATTTCCATTGTTTCCAGAGCAGAGCACAACATTCTCATTTTGATTGAAGGTATCTCTTAACCTCAAGAGACAGAATGATTGTGCGTGGGAGGCAGGACAAATGACTAAGTAATTTCCCACTGCTGGAAAATGGCCTCACCATGGCCTGAGCTGGTTCCCAAGTCCTCAAGGGCAGCAGAGCTATGAGCTGACCCTGCCAGGCCTGGCTTGCCAGCACCAACACCCCTCCTGTAGTCACTGAGCTCAGGGGAAAGGCTCAGACCGGGCAGACACATGGATGTGGAGCACTAGACGTGCTGTGGGTGCGCTCATGAAGGCAGCTCTGGTGAGTGCAGAGCTGTGCACAGCAGTGAGCCTTCAGAGATGGATCATTTGTCTGGAAGAGACCTCAGGAGTGCTGCCACTCCCCTCCCCACAGCCTGTTTTTAGCCCTGTTCCTGTACCAATGCCAGTGTGGCCACTTCAGCACA